CTCATAATACGCATTTCACTTTCGATCTTCGATAACCAGCACTTGGGGCCGACATTCAAAAGAGTAAACGGAACTGCAGGAAAGCGTTATGCGACGAAGTGGATTGTGACCCCTAGGGCCAGGGATACAATATAGTCATGAAAAGTTGCATACACCATCGCAAGCGATGGATGAGGTTTGAGTTAAGAATATAGTGGACTCACTATTTCCCACACACCCACTAAGAGCAGATAGTGTTCATCGAGGAGCAAGCCGAAGCACCACTGTTTTCGGCAGACGAGCTGAAGTTAGCCCTGCGAAGCATGAAAGCCGGGAAGGCTCCAGGCCCCGATGTTATACCATCGGAGGCAATCAGGTTAGCAGCAAAAACGAGCCCTGATCTCCTGCTTAACATGTACAACAGCTGCCTTAGGGCCCGGGTCTTCCCAAGCCAATGCAAGAAGGCGAGGCTGGTGCTTATACCCAAGGGCAAAGGGGACCCAAACTCTCCTTCATCTTTCTGGCCACTCTGCATGTTAGACACAGCAGGCAAGATGATGGAGAGTCTGTTCAAAATACGCTTGACGTCAGCCATAGAAAACGAGGGAGGCCTTTCCCCCCGACAACATGGCTTAAGAAAGGGACACTCAACTATAGGAGCAATTAGTGAAGTAGTCGAGGTGGTACATAAAGCCGAAGAAGCCTGTCACTAGAAGAAGCTAGTCACACTGGACGTCAAGAACGCCAACTCGGCAAGATGGGACGACATGTTGGAGGCCTTGGAACGGTCATTCAAAGTTCCAACATACTTGCTAGATATGATTCGGGACTACCTCAGGGACCGTTGGCTTTTGTACGACAGAACACAAGGTCGAAGAAAAAGACGTATAACCTTCGGCGACGCAGGGGTCTGTACTTGGCCCGGACCTCTGGAACGCCACGTATGACAGTCTGTTGTTGTCGCCTTCGCGGATGGCGTGGCCGCCGTCATAACAGCAAGAAACATCCAGCTAGCGCAGCTAAAGCAGAACCAGGTAATGCGCAGCGTCAGTGGATGGATGAGCGATCACGGTCTGCAAATGGCTACATCAAAACAGAGATGGTGCTCCTCACCAAGAAACGAATCCCAACAATTACAAACACAATGGTCGGACCTCAGCCCGTGACAACTTCTAGGTTTACAAAATACGTAGGGGTGAAGCTTGACAGAAAACTTATATTCTGGGAACACATTTACGGAATGTGTGAAAAAGCTGCGCAGAGCACGGTGGCTCTAAGCCGGCTGATGGCGAACGTGGGCGGCCCGAAGCCATGCCGTAGGAAACTTTTGATGACAGCAGTCCCGTCGGTGCCCCTGTACGGGGCAGAAATATGGGCCGACGCATTGAAAGTCAAAAAATACCGGATTCAAATGTCTTCGGTCCAGCGCAGAGGGGCACTACGCACATGCTTCTGCATACCGTACAGTGTCCGCGGACGCGGTTCTAGTTATTTCTGGCGTCAGGCCAATTGAGCTACTTGCTTATGAGCGAAAAGAGATTTACAATCTCAGTGCCGAGATAAGCCAAGCAGCTGCCGCGGCAAGGGCACGCGAGCAACTAATCCAGCAATGGCAACAAAACTGAAACGCGAGCACAAAAGGTCGGTGGACGCACACCCTGATAGCTCACCTTCAAACATGGTTGAAAAGACCGCACGGGGAGGTCGATTTCTAACTGACGCAAATCCTCACCGGTCATGGTTACTTCCGAGAATATCTTCATAGAATGGGCAGGGTAGACTCACCGTTCTGTCACTACTCTGAAAACGTCGAAGATAACGTACACCATACATTCTTCACTTGCGAGCACTTCTTGTATTCGCGCAGAATGTTGGAAGAAAGATACGCAGACATAACCCCGAACAACGTAATTGGGGTACTGATCTCCAGTGCAGACAAGTGGAAAGCAGTTGCGAGATACGTGAAATTCGTACTCCGCTTCAAACGAGAGGGGGGATGTCTACTGAGGACAACCGAACGAAACGCCCCTACAAAAGAGCAGCCTTGAGGCTCAAGTAGCGCGCTCCTGCATCTGAAGACATGCAGAATTTCGGTGACAGATGCAGGATCCTTGCGCGGGCGGTGGGACTCCCACACTCGGGGAAGGTAGCGGCCAGTGCATAAAGCATTTCCCTCTCTTATGAACACAAAAAATAATAATAATAATAACAATAATAATATTAATAATAATAATAATAATAATAATAATAATAATAACCGAAATAAATTGAATTCAGATGTCTGGGTTGCGTGAAAATTGCTTCATCAATCGGGTTGAGCGCATGCAAAACTATATAAATCATGCTGAAGAATATTTTGAAAGCCAATAAGACCATTTTTACATACAAAACTTGTTTTTTTTTTGGTAGATATTTTAGGGACTTTATTGTTTCTCGTAGTTAATTTATTTCTCAGCTGCAAAACTTACCTAGGTACTTTATTCCAGTTATTCTTCTTGTTGCTTATATTTTTTCTAGCAAACCTTTATTCTAATTTCGAATACACTAAAGTTAGCAAATTCATTTTATTGCCTTATATAATATTATGTTTTTCAAAAACTTAAGTCTTCTATACAATACCACATAGAAGCGTTTGAACTCTCCGTAAGTTGCTCCTTTTGGACAAGGTTATACAGTAGTGATAACAGCTCTTCCAGCTTTCTTATTTGATTGCTATACGCCAAAATTAATATTGTCCATTTCGAAAGTGTCTTTATTACTCGAACTTCTTTCGAAAGCACCAAATGTTGAAAATACGCATTTAATAGCCCGTCAAGCCAACGAATAATTTGCATTTCAAATTTTAAATAGCTCGTTTCAGTACAAAATGGTTCCATAGGCGATGGTTCGGTTAATAGTTCATAAAAATAATCAAGGAGAAATAATAGCCCAAAAGAGCTAAAATCACTTCGAAATTGCTCGGTTAGTTCTGTTTTTCGAAATGTTCCAGTGCCACAGGAAGTCAGCATGTTTCTTGCAAAGTATTTGTATTTTAAAGTTTTCGGATCACTTTTGATCACCATGGAAAAAAAAACTTTAGCAAGTATTGATTCAGGCGCACTCGAAAACCGACTCAACAAGCTCATATTTTCAGAACTGCACTCTAATTTTGACAACAAAACCAGTAATTTCTCTGACATCTCTTGTCCAGTAGCTCCGCAGTTTTCGTATTGGCGAGCGAAGAGTTCAAAAAGTGTTCTATTTATTAGCTGTGTATCTAAAGGTGTTTCGACTACAGCGATGATATCATCTAAAAATGACTTTTCATGATCAACTTTTACAAAAGTTTGATTTTCTTCGCCTAGGCAAGAATAGTCTCGTAATTTTTCCAATATTTTCAAATGACCTTTTAAATCTTTACCCGTGGAATCGCATTTGAAATTAACAGCCTTTTTTCGGAATATACATGAACTTTCTTTAAATGAACAAAATGATTGATGATAATCCTCCTCATTTATATGATCACCTTCAATTCTTGTGTTATTTTCACCACTATACGTTCCTAGTAGATCTATTAAAAGTTCTTGAGACATCCGGTATGTAACCACAGATAAATTTTGTCCCATAGCTATTATAATATTTTCATCGATGCTCCAAATTCGAGAACAGTCAAAAAATACTTTGAAGAATTGTTGAGCTTTAGCAACTTTAAATTGTGTGTTGTAGAGAATTAATGAAGCACCTTCTTGGTTACTGTTAGCTCCATAAATTGCTACACAATTTTTCGCTATTCCTAAAATTGATAAAGGAGTATCCACTTTAAGTGTGGAAATGATTGATACAAAGTTTCCAGGTGACTTTTCCGATTCCACATTTTCATCAAGGTTTAGCAAAAACATCCTTTGGTCTGACCCTGGAAAGTTTTTGTCAATTCAAATATATATTCAAAGTTTGCTTCAAAATACTTACATATAGTTAACAGCATAAAATTATTATCCCCTTCAACAATGGCATATCCAGATAAATCAACAGTCATGTCCTTACGTGTAATTTTTAAAATAATTTGTTGGCCTCCAACCTTTAATGGTAACACCACAAGATGTATTTTTTTATTGTCTTCCGCTTGTACAAAGTATATTAAGACTTGAGTGTCATTAAATAGACTTTTTACATTGACATCTTTAACACTACCGTAGTTTAAATGAGTGGCGTCTAAAACAGTAGATACAGAAGAAAAATCTTTCCGTGGAGTAAGTGCCTCAGACAATTTATCCCAATCGCCATCAGCATAAAGGATTATAGCACCAGTTTCTGTAGGTACAATGGCAACTGCTGATTTCTGTAGCTATAGTTAAACTATTTTTAGTTTACTGATTTATATAAGGTTAACATTTTACTAACCTTTATTTTTTTCACACTGTTTATATCGGTAGTAAATCCATTCCAACAACGAATAAAACGATTTCCAAAGATGCCTATATATTGGTTACTATTATTGTCATATATAACTTTATTTGACAATTTTTCTTGAGTAGACCAACTAAAAACTTGCTGCTGTGATGAAATCTGCAAGAGAAATTTATTACATTTCATAATCTTTTGTCATTCATATCATGCTCCTCCATGGTGAAATAATAATGTGTTGTCACTTAGGAGGTGGTTGTTGTAATTTTGGCAATTTTAAAAACCAGCGTTACAGGAATGCCTACTCTATTTATTCCAATTTCATTTCTGGGCAAAATGAAACAGAATATGGAGCTGAGAGCAATGGAAAAAGTAAGCGTGTATTTCCTTGTTGCTTTTTTGCTTTGACTTTTCGTTTCAAATTTATTGGAAAATCTAAGCGATAATTTGCAATAATTGGGTTTTTGTAAGTAAATTTTTGGTAAAATATGGTGGACTTGGGCGAGCCTAAGATATTGACCAAAAATTTTCATCTTTCATAGATTGTTCTTGGAGCATTATGAACCATATTTTTGCTATTACCAATCAAAATTCTGAAAAAACGGATTTTCGGCCCACGCTAATATACAGGTGCATATTGATGAAATCTAATTGGCTATATATATCTGCATATATGTTGAGCTATTAATCCCAAAAAAACAGCGATTTATTCAAGAGAATGCCATGTAAGTTTCGCAAACTTAAAGCATTCATTTTTGGAAAAACTAATACATTTTACCCACAAAAGGTTTTCAGAACAGTGGCTTTCTAAGTTTTAGATCGACAAGATATTTCCGAACGAAGGTGGAAAGAAGTCATGGTGACAGTTGATAAAAAAAACTGGTTGGGTATATAGAGGAAAGAGTAAATATCATAAATAAAATATTTCACTTTGAAATGTAGATGCTAAAGATTATTAATAAAATAAAGTGTGAGCACCGGTATGTCAGGTCTTGAAATTAGCCGCATGTATTAGAGAACTTTATGTACTTTTGCATAATTTCGCGAAAAGAATTTTTCTAACAATAGAGAATATCCTCAAATATTGGGAGAAGAGAATATTTACACTTATGTAATTTTAAATTATAACCTTTGTTTTCTGAGGGTGGAAAGCAGGAAACAAAAATTAACCAAAATTCTATCACTGTTAATGACTGGGCCCACATTTTTTGTTACATTCTGACGGTATAGTGATCCAATTCTCCCCATATTTTATATTTGAGGTTTTCTAGTAAAAGAGAGAGTACAAACTAAAATATATCGGAATCGGATGAAATTTAATGTTTCCGTCCATTTTTCCAAATTTCTATTCCTATTCCTAAGTAAAATAAGAGCACATGTCAACTTTCAGCGAAACCGGTGCAGGTTAACTATTATTTCCACCTGCCTCCCTATAGTCGAAACACTGTGCGGCCCTAGCAGCAGCGTTTTATAAGCAAGTTCCAGGTAGGAAATTTTCAAATCCAAAACTTTTAGTATATTGGCAGTTTAACCAGTGTTCATATGCTTGTGTTTCTTCCAACAGTTTATTCGAGCAGTGTCTCGCCAAGCGGCTCTACCAGCAGCGTTTTTCTGAGAAATTAATTAATCAATCCAGTTTTTTTTTAAAGAAAAAATGAAAAACCCAAATTTTAACAGGAAAAAAATAACAGATCCTGTGGAAATTTTGTACTAATGAAGAAAATCGATGGATATATAAAGGAAATGCAAATGCGTAAAGATTTTCTTTGTATGAAAAATTAACAGGAAAGTATGTCACTCATACGCAATGTGCACCTGAGTAACATATGCTCATTTTTCATACAAAAACTCTTTGCGTTTGGAATTTTATAAGTTATGAATATACATTTTGTATTAAATTTTCTACCTTCAAATGGAAGAATGTGACTGAATAATTGAAAAACATTCAAATCATTCAAACTCATTTCGGTTGTAGTTTTTTTCTACAAACAAGTTTGTTCGTATTGTAATTGGAGCGCAGCAATATATACATACATAGATATTAATGTTTGTACCAGGGTTGTTGCGAATATTCGCAATCGCATTCGCAACCGCGGAGCTTCCGCATTAATTTTAATATTCGCATTCGCTTTCGCATTCGCAATAATCAATGCGGAGCTTTTGCGAATGCGAATGTTGTGCAAGTGCACCGAAAGAACGTATATCTGGCAAACAAAATGACAAATTGTAGATGCGAGGTTAGGTGATGTTACCCGGACGCCTTACATGTGAGTATTTGTGTAACAAAACTGGTAAAATTTCATATTTATCAACTTTGATAAAAGTATCTTTAATCATATTATTTCCTAAGCTATATAACCGAGCTATCAATGGGCAGTCATAAAATTTCCCACTTCTACTTGACCTTTGACGTACGTCAAAGAGAACATAGTCCTTTTAACAATACTTTTTTATTGTTTTCTGTGCAAATACCTATTCTTCCTTTATTATGATATTTTTGGACCAATCTTAAAAAAAACTACTAGACATAAAAGAAGTGTGCACTATAATTTTAAACCAAATGTTCGTGATTTGGTTTGGATGTTACATATATTCGTTTAAATTATTTCAAACGGAGAATTTATTTTTAGGATACATTTTAAAAACAGTAATTTCGTTTACTTGTCGGGAAATATTTTTTTATATTGATATACATTGGATCCTTGGCTAAAAACTTATGTGGCGAATCCCTTCTTTGCTATTTAAAGTCAAAGAGTAAGCTCCTTCAATTGGGATTTCCAGCAGAAATGTTCAATGTCGCTCTATAAAGAGAATCGATGCTCAAATAATTAAAAAGCTATAAGTCTGACCTTTAATTAAGTATGAATTACGCAACTATCTGAGACCCTCATCATTTTCAAATGCTTATAAAAAATCTTTTCTTTTGCTTTTTTTAAAAAATAATATCTTATCCGATTCGGCTGGCAGTCACGACTTTGAAAACAGAATTTGGTTCGAAATTTCCATTCCTAGAAAATAATAATTAATTTTCCATATCCACCTATTAGCTCGCTATAAGCACACATTTTTCAAAACAGTCACAGAAGATTTAAAAATGAATTACAAAAACTACAATCGAAAAACGCTGATGGCGTTACGGGTTCCCCAAATTCTGAAACAGCCAAAGGAATGACAATGAATAATTATTTTCAAAAAGCTTTAGAAAAGCTGACACGTCTGATTTGGATTGTAAGCGGTGTTTAAACAACGATCTCGACATTATGCTAGATTCTTCAAGTAAAGATGGAACTTAGGAGGATACATCCGACATTTTCAGTCACGATGCAATTCTCATTTTTTATTAAATATAATATTCCCATGTTTGACTTCAAGTACTAAATAACACAAACATTATTAAAAATTACTAACTTTTCCATGTTTTATTTACCTAAGTAACTTAATTTACTTACCTAATTGTTTCTTAAAAATACTTGACTTCCGCATTCGCATCCGCATCCGCGGATGTTAGCTGATAGACATCCGCATCCACATTTGCAACATCCCTAGTTTGTACATATGTACCAGTGATCAGCAAAAGTTAATCAGCCTCATTGCGTAAGTCGTAAATTAGGCTAAATTGTACAACTCGACAACATTGGCATTGTTTACTGTCGTGCTGATATAAGTAAACGACGAAAAACGTCGAAAACTATGCAGTGCTGCCAAGTTTTTCCGTTTTAATACACTAGTCGAGTGGAAATTTTAGGCAATGACATGAATTTTCGATACGATTAAGACTCTCGAAAAACGACTTGCATTCGACACGACTCTCGCAATGAGGCTGATTGTTTTGATATTCCCCGCCACTCAGCATATTTTGGATATAAGTACGTCTAAATCAGGGAAACGCCACCACTCTGATGTACGCATATGCGCAACGACATTGATTTATGTGTATCAGTTACCATAGATATGAATACGACGCCCTCATCATACTCATACCATCCCCAACAAGTTTGATCCTCAGCTCAACCGAACTTGATCTGCAATATTTATTGCATGTGTGGAATTATGTGAATCATTCCACTCAACCCGAAATAACTACATAGTTAGGGCATTGCTATGCAGATGGTTGTGTTTACCAAAGCGGAGGGTGAAATAACGCAAACGGCAATAACGCAAATTTGTGTTATTTCCCAATTGAATGTGAAATAACACAAGTTTGCTTTATTGCAAAATAGTGCACATACGTAGTCACGCAGTTACATTTGACAAAAAGTAGTACATGAACAAGTTAAATGGATGTAAATTTGTAAGTATACAATTTTGAAAGTGCCCAGCGTCACCCCGTGCTCGCACTCGCATCCCCCGGCCTCCTCCCATTCTTTCACAATTATCAACTGGTGACATTATAACCGTTTAGAAAAAAAAGAATAATAATAAAATGGCACTAGTTCACTTCTGAAACTGCTTTTTAATGTCCAAGTAATGGGAATTATTGCGTATGGTGTTATTACATGCATCTCACCCATGGTGGAATTATACCAGGTGAAGTAATATTAGATTGAGAAGAAAGATTTTGACACTGCCTTATTTGAAAATTTGCCTATAAAATGTGACTATAAGGCAGCCGAATGTCTGAAAATAAAGCGAGAAAGCTATTTTATTATTTCACCTGTTTATTGCGCCATTCATCCCACCGAGTACCGAGTATACGTTCCAATATAGAAGTCTGAGAGTAGGTAAAATGTTACATATTTTTACATTACTATTTCGTACTACATGTTCGCTCCGTCTTCGTAAACGAAATCCATAGTTCGGATATAGCAAGTGATGATAATGCAGAAATTTTAACTGAAGATAAAACTCAACGCAATATTCTCTGTGTTATACATATGCTGCGAACAGGAACGCCAACTTTTATTTGTTCCATGCCATGGCGGAATTATACCAGGTGAAGTAATTAGAGCGAGATTAATGGGTCGATTACGGATAGCAACGCAACCACGGTTCGGTTGCCAGTTGGCAACGCAACTGGAGAGAAAATTTGTATTACGAATGACAACTATCGTCAGTTGCTATAGAGTTATCGCTAATCGAAATTTGACAGTTCGACAACCAACAAGCGGCTGTAACTGTGCGAGTAACATTAAATGATTAAAATAAAGAGTTTTAAAGAAGAGACAGCAATAAAGCTAAGTTCATCACAATTATTTGTTTAGGAGGAAGAGAAGTGCATGAACGCGGCCTCAATCAGGCGACATTCAAAGGATAATTCCAATCCACTGAGCTACCGCGTGCACTGTAAGCAAAGGTTTTAATCAGGGTACGAAAATAAACTGTACAAAACAATTCCCATTTGCTCATCGATCATCATATCATTTGTGGTTTTGTACAGTTTTGTAAATAGTCAGAAACAAATTGTAAGATTCACTGTCATTTTCCCCAACGAGAAACGTTTGCTTTTCGTTTGTGACAATTGTACCATAGGGTACGTTTTATATGTATGCAAACGTTTCAATTACGTGAAAAATAATTTTTTCTGTAAATTTTCATATCCAATTCAATTAAAAAACATTTTTATTTTTTTATTCATTGCAGCCATTCGTTTTGTATTTGTTTATTGCATATATGTGCATACATAAATATATTTTCCCTGCACGATTCATTTCGTTTGTTGTTTCGTCTGTAACTACTAAACTACTGTAGTGTACTATCGCCAAAGTGAACTCAGCCGTTTTGTTTCGTATTGTACCGAACTGTTAAAGTAATAAACGAAACGAAATAGTAACGTACAATATAGTTTATTTTCGTACACTGGTTTTAATGCTTTCAAGGTTTTTCTTTTATTATCGCTTTGTGTTCATTTTCAAAGCATATTGAGGACTTCCAAAAGAAGCTGTAGTATAATTGGTTAATAAACTGATGAACCACTTCGTTCAACTTCAATACCTCCGCTCATAAAAGCTTGCGCACCTCTTCGATTTTTGCAGAAGGAAGTGCCACAGCAATGACTTCAATTTGGAAAACATGGTGTGTCGGTAGTTTTAAAAGAAGTGCTTCAGTTGATAGAGGAAAAAAATTGCAATCAGTGTTCGCTTTTGTTTCTCCAAAAGGGCGTACTCCACGGGAACTAAAATTTCA